AAGTGGCGGTCAGGTATAGAGTGTTTTGCAGCAATAAGCTTTATAGTATATTCATTACGAGGTGTGTTCAAAAGAAACGGAGAATTTTGATTTTTCGCGGGTTGTGTACTTTTGAAATAATTGGCTCAAAGAATATGTACTTTTAGTTAAAAATGGAATAAAGTGATCGAAGGCACTTGAAATGTTGAATGTGACACATTTGGTGAGTCCACTTAATCTCAAAAACGGGTTTATAAGTGGTACAAGCGCTTTACAAAAGGCAGAGAAGATGTTGATGACGAGAAGCAGCCTGGAGGTGCGACCATGTCAACAAGCGAAGAAAACATCGATACAGTGAAAAAAAAATTGTTCCTGAAAATCGTCGAATCACCATTAAGGAAGTTGCTAAGGATGTTGGCATATCAATCGGCTCATACCACTCAATTTTCTCGAATGTTTTGGTCATGAAACGTGTGTCAGCGAAGTTTGTTCCAAAATTGCTAAATTTTAAACAAAAGCAATGTCGCATTAGTATCGCTCAGGAGTTGTTGAATGACGGCAACAAAGACTGCGACTTTTTTCAATTAACAAAACAGATGAAACCCGTGAAAGGAAAGTGTTTCGCTACAATTGATGAGCTCAATCCAGAATCGAAGAAAGAGCTGATGACCATATCGGAAAGCGCATTTCAGAAGTGCTTCGAAGATTGGGAAAAGCGTTGGCACAAGTATATTATATCCGAAGGGGATTAATTTGAAGGTTACAAAATAGATATTGATGAATAAATAGTACTTTTCAAAAAAATTCAAAATTCCCCTTTTCCTTTGAGCACACCTCGTATATATGTATATATATAAATATATATATAGTATATATGTATATGTGTGAATGAATATGTTGTCTGTGTTTATTTGTGGTTACGCTTTAACTCCTTCACATCGCATTTTGGGGTTTTCGCCATGGGAAATATGCAAATTTAATGTTTCTGTTAATGTTGGTTGTCTTCAGTAAGCTTCACCCCTGCCGCTAAGAGTAAAATTCATTTGACTCTGTATTGCCCGTTAAATGTCTCAACACTACTTAATAGCGGCATTTTCGCACACAATTATCCAACTAATTTTGTGTGGCAGAGCAAATGAACTGGTATATCGCTGATTTTCTAAGAAGTTCTTAAAATAAAAACTATTAAAAATAATTAAAATGATTTAAAATTGTGTAAATACTTTAATAGTATCATCTAATTCACTTTGCGCTTAAATGTAGGCAACAATTATATGTACATGATAGTTATTAGATTAGATATATTAGGTGGTATTTTTCAACGCCAATATTTAATATGGCAGTCTAGTATTAGCTAACAATGATTTTGAGCGCCTAGCAGCATTCAATATACCATAAATCATTTAATTGTGTGTAAAAACATAAAATAAATATTTCTTAGTTAAATGAATTTGCAAATGGCCTTTTACATGACCATGCTTTTAAGGCTTGAACTTATTGGATATTGGAAGTTGATATTGTTCATTATAGATCAAGAAAGCAACGTGAAAAGGCCTCGCAATGTTTTCAGAATTTTAGTCGCTTTTTCGATGTGTCTTGTCTTAGTTATTTTCAATATTACGCTTTTGAAAGATCTGATGTTTTCTAGTTATTATGTATCTCAGTTTGAAAAAGAAACAGAGTTGTTTCAAACTGTACTAAAACAGCAAGCATATTTCAAAACTCCTGATGAGACCTTTAAGAGTTCCTATTACGTCGAGTTATAACCTATTTCACTTTATTTTGTAATTTTTTCTTTTAAGAGATTTGTGTAGTTCAGGACATAAAAATCAAAATATTTATGAAATAAATTTTATAAGGATCAATAATATATTCAAGTTCAATCTTTATTGTCATAGTACGACAATAGTATTCGTTCGGTCGTGCTAAGAAAGGGAAGCTTAAATAAGAGAAGACTGCAACATACGCATGACTAGTTGTTTCCATTATAAACAAAGACAAGATTATGAGGTTAAAAGTTTATTTCATGCTGCTAAAGCCTACTTAAATATTAAAGGATAAGGAGATAAAAATTCCCTTGTCTAAGTCTAAATCTGTGTACTTATATATTTACGGATGTGGTTATGCTTTAATATGAGCCTTTAGCATTGACTTTCGGTATTTTTCTCTTCGCGTTATGCACCCTCAGGATTTGATGTTTCAACTTTGAGTCGATTTCTTAGACCAATTGGCCCACATTGTTATTGTGTCCAACTTACGTACAAAGAAGAACTTGAAATATCTTAAAATTAACCGTTTATTTTTTGTATTTTTTTATTTAAATTTCGCAACATGTTGCTTCAGAGTTTTATACTCTTGTTTACTTATCGTTTGTTTGTAACAACTAAAATTAATCGATATAGTTATAGAGCTATGTATAAAAAAATGACCGGTGTTGAGTTGAATTATGGCTGACTGCCTCGTGTCGGCCCGTTGGAGCGATAATTTGAGTAAAAATTAAGTTAACGTGATAAAACTTAGTACACATGTACTTGTTCTCGCTACTTATAAACTTATAAAGTGCTATAAATAAACCGAAAATAACTGTAGTTAAGCATAGAGTTCGAAGTATAGAGTGCAATTCGTGGTTTAAAAGTTTTAAAAAAAAAGTTAAAAAGTAAGTTTAAAGTGTACATTTGACAAATTACTAAAGTTAAATCGACCAGAGAACAAGTGTTTCTAGCATCTTCCCATATTGTGAAAACAGATTAAATCTCGAAAACTGATATTATGAATATATGTAGTATGAAAATAGGCGGATATCGGACTCCAAACACGACTATTCATTCACTTTATAGTAGATAAATCAGACAATAATGAATCAATCAGAACAAAACTTTGCAGAAATAGCCTAAAATTATGCTACCTTTTTCCAAAAAATTGTTAAAATCGAACTATGATTTTTCAAGCACGCCAATAACGAATAAATTAGTCGCAGTGTCTATAGCTGACTTTTTACTGAAAGTTTTTTACCATCTTTGAGATAAAAGATTGAAATTCAAAGAGAATATTTTCCTGATAATAATGTGTACTTCTGTCAAAAATTGGTAAAATCGGGTCATTACAATAAATCTCCTAGTCCCCATATAGCTAACATAAAGAATTTCAAACATTTAAACCGTTGACTTTGTACCGCATATATCGCTCAAGATGTAAAATATCTTAGCAAAATTAAGTGAACTCATAATGTCTGATATATTATAGTTAAACACGAAAAGCTTGTGATACCGGTACTCGAATTATGTAATGATAATAAAACTTTGATTGAAAATGACGGAAATTCGTAGGAACCTAATGAGTGAGAATTTCGTAAGACCATGAAATTATTTAATTGACCCTAAAATATGCTGTCATTATGTCATTTCAGGAACTCAACGAACTTTTGATTTAGTTCGAATATTCTCGTAATATAATTAATTTCTATTTCTATACTTTTCAAACAAATAATTAATTAACAAATAACGTTTTAAGATTTTGTACTAAACATGCTTCATGCATAATTATATTGGATCCATAAATACGACTATTTGTTGTGTAACCAAAAAATTGAGAACATTAGTAAATTCTCAAATGTTTACACAACTTTCTCCGTCCAATAAAATATAAAAATACTTGGATTAAGTGAAAATTGCAATTTAATTAGATTTTCATGCGTAAGTGCCGATGCCAGGGGCGAAGAGAAAAATAAATAGAATAACAAAAAATAACGAGTATTGTCGTTGAAAACAGCTAACGGAAAGAATTTAGGTCAAAAGCAGTACTTGTTATGTACAACAACAAACTATAAAGTACGACGTACAACAACAAACTACAACATTGGAAAAAAAACATAAACAAAACGGGTGTGAAACAACGAAGCTGTACAGTAGATATTCAAAAAATTAATAACAGTAAAAACAAGAAAAAATCGTAATTTCGGCTGCACTTAAGCTAAAAGGTTTCCATACGAGAATTTGATTTTGATCGATAAGTTTGTATGCCAGCTATATGCTATAGTGGTCGGATATAGGCGGTTCAAACTTGTTGAGGTGGAAAGGATGTGAGCAAAATTTCAGATCGATATCTCAACCACTGAGGGACTAGTTCGTGTACAAGTATATACAAACAGACAGATGGACCTGTCAAAATCGGCTTAGCTCGATATGCTGATTATTTATATATATGTATACTTTATAGAGTCTCCGATGTTTCCTTCAGGGTGCTACAGACTTCGTGGGAAACTTAAAATACTTTGTTCAGGGTATACAAATAAACAAATAACAGTAAAAAAAAAACAATCAAAAACTATTCTTCCGAAGTTCCGAATGCTCGTATTACGCAGCTAGTAGTAAATGCTAAACGAGTATATACATACATATATATGCAAATGTACATACTAATATAAAGTGCTAATTGGCTGGTAAATGATGACGTTGCGTCAACTGAGATGCCTTTAAAGAACCGTTAAGCGATGAGCGGAGATACACACGACAAGCTCACTTTGGCGGCTACTAACTTAGATCGCTATTAAAACTGGAGCAGTAGAACGCTTTTTAAATGTGTATATGTGTGTGTGTATTTGTAGCGGGTACTGTACGAATGCTGTTGTTGTTAGCACGAGCTTTAGCAATTAGCACCTGACAAGTGGTACTACTCGTTCTACATACAGTTTAGGTGTGTGTGTGTATGAGTGAAATAATTGATAATTGCCTGAGCATGGCGGGCATGTGATGATTGTTCTAGATACAACTAGCAGCGATGATATTTTGAGAATCGAAGATTGGTGGAATCATTTACATATTTATCAGAGCTTACTCTTTCAAATACTTTCCGAAAATTTTTTTCAAGTATTAGCATGTGGGTACTTACATATGTATGTGTAGCAACTACCTGTATGTATGCATGAGTGTTGTCGCAGGTTGTCAGCCACTTGAGGAAACAAAGCTCGCCACAAGATTTTAGGACAGTTACAATCCGGCACTCAGGCTGTACGGTATTAAACAGTAAAGTCAATTTAGTTTAGTGCGAAAGAAAAAAGAGTGAAGTAAAGAATCACATGTAACGCGTGGTTTGCGGTGCGCGTGAGATGAAAAAAAATCAATTAAATTAACAAAAAAAAAAAAAAAAAAAAATAAACTTAAAAAGTTTTCAGAACTACAAAAAAATATTTAAAGAGACAAAAAATAATATAAAAGTGTTCGAAGAAAATTTTTCCAAAAAATGTTGCAACCAACAAACAAGTTTACAACACATTTAAAATCCACCGGCGGATGTCTCCTCACACTGTTCGTTTTAATATTTGTATTTTCCATTACCACCTTGGCTTTCATGGAAGTGTTGCAGGACACAAAGAGCGCTGAAAGCAATAAGAAGGCACAAGAAAATGAAATTAATGAAGAAAATGAGGTCAACGCCACAGTGGTCAGAGTATTAATGAGTGCCAACGATCAACGAGTGTCAGCAAATGGTGAAAATGTCAGGAAATTTTTGCTTGTCAATATAGAACGAGAAAATGATACCGAAACACTGTTGACAAGAACAATAAAAGAGCAGAAACAACAATTACAACACCAACAATATAAACGCGATGTAGGCAATACAGCAGATAATCAAAATAACAGCAACCAAAGTACCGTTAAACAAGGTTACTACGAAGAACAACAACCGGTACTCGTACATGCCGAAACTCTGCCCACGCTTGGTCGGCGTCAAGATAATTTTGGTGCGCCACCTAGCGCTTATCAGGATGCCTATTATGCGCATCCCGGCTCTGTGTACGATGACGAAGAAGAGGATGACTCACAGGAGAGCGCCGATGGTTATCCTTATGAGCAGCGACCAGCAGCTGGTTATTATGGCGATGATAATGACGATCGTAATGCTGGTGAAGAGCGTGTTGGTGGTGAAGCGGAGAGTGTTAGCGGTGAGATGGAGAGCGTGGGTGAGGGACGTGCTGCAGGCAACTCTGCTTATGACTCCTACTACGGGCAATGGCATTACGCGACACCAGCACCGGTACAGCGACCGAATGGCGGTTGGGAGGTCGGTGGTAATCGGCAGTTGCAGAATGCCGAACGGTAAGTGAGAAATTAGTGTGTGTTGGTTGGCGATTGTGCGGAAAATGAGAAGACGAGAAAGAGACAGAAAGAAAGATAGAGAGGGAGACTGAAAGAGTGGGAGAGAAGAAGAGAGTTAGATAGAGTTAGCTAAAAGTTCTTCCAAGCAGTGAGTGATATTTAGTAGAGTGATAGTTTCCCACCTTTCGCTAATTATTAAGAGTTGAATGGTGGATCGTAGTATGATTTCACTTAAAAAATTATCAAAATTTAATACAATATCTGGCAAAATCTTCATCGAATTATAGCAAATATTTGAAATTGTATTAGTTTTTTTTTAAAATTTGTTGGTTTATTTAAGAAAAACAAGCACAAGTATTGTTCAGAGTATTGCCCATCTGAAGCAAGTTCCAGCCCAAAATAACTGATTTTTGATACGCTGTTTCGATGTGAATCGTATTCCAGTGATGGTGTTCTGCATCGACCAGAACAAATGGTAGTCAGAAGGGACAAGGTCTGGGCTATAAAGCGGCCGAGGCAAAACTTCCCAGCCGTTTTTTCCAAATAGTTTTTAGCCGTTCGCAGTGCAGTTCGGTCACAAAAACGATTTCTTTTGGTAATGTTCTTCGTCTTTTAATCGAAATCACCACTTTTAAATCGTGCAAATCAACTTTCGCTCAGCTAGACCAGATTTGTAAGGGTCTTATGATCTAGTATATAGGAGTTTTTAGGTATCACTACAGACCGGTGTCCTAAGCAGTCCAAGTGAGACCCTCTCAGGATCGACCTCTCTCAACCTAACCTAATTAGCTGGATCATGTTCACCATAAACTTCCACCAAAATACGATCACATTGGGCTGAAGTTTTCTTTATTTTAAAATTATAAAGAAAAACTCTCCGTAAAAGTATTTTTTCAAGCACAAAGGTCGAAATATTCGAATGAAAAAAATAATATAATAATTAAAAAATTATTTTCAAGTAGCTTTTTGTGGTTAAAAATATTATAAATTCGGTTCTGGAAAAAATCATCTTATGACTTTTTCAAAAACCCTTACTATATCTCTTTAAATAATCTTTAAGAAGAGAAAATTACAACAACACATCCATAGGATTCCAAAAACCAGCAATAATTCTTTCAACCACGCAACGAAACAACAGTGGGGGCATTAATTAATAAGCAACATAATGTTGCAGGTTATTAAACATTGCGGCTGCGAGCACGAAAAGCAGTTAAGCCATATTGCCACACAATGGTTGTTGTTAAAAGTTATACTGCTATTAGAAGAGGTGCAATAACGTCTTCTAGCTGTTGCACATACTATAAAACTGCAGAGTTGTGGCTATTTTTGTTGTAATTTCATTCTAAGTAATTGTTGCTGTTGTTGTTGCAGCGTATTCACTTCTTATCCACGTCTTGTGTATTTATGATTTGTGCGTGCGTTATAAAGCAATTAGCAGCTGTTTTGTTGCCGCCAAGCGCTTGCAACACATGTTGCAACATTAGGACTGCATAGAACCAACTAGTATCTACTCCTATGCGGCAATAAAATCGTCTACAAACGCACGCATGCTTGTGTCGCATGTTGACAACTTCGCAATGTGGCTGCAATTCGTGCTTGCCACAAATGCAACAATGCAAACTAATTTCATTTGAATACGCATACACACGCATCTAAATTATACACAAATATAATTCCATTGTTGCCACCTATATTCACCTATGTTGCATTTACACGCCCCTTCTAAATATTTCCGTTATTTCGCGTACTTGCAACACAATGTTGCTAGTGCGTGCCACTATTGTTTGCATGTCTGTGCGCCACGGCGACTTTTGTTTATTATTATGAGTTCACTTGCTTCAACTTTTGTTGTTGTTTTAGTTTTGTTATTGTTTGTTATTTCTACAGCACTGCCACATAGTGTCTGTCGCATAATAGGTAAGCAAATAAAAACGCATACACACGCATTGCTTACTACAATACATTGTTGCGACCACATAAATTTATGATGTGCATACATGTTGCATGCTTCATGTTGGATTTCGCTCGCATTACAATTGTATACACCCACTCTTGTGGTATATAGGTGTGTGTGTGTGTTGAGCGTAAAATTTCGTGAAGAAGAGTTCTGGAAAGAAAAAAAAACATTTGTATATATAAAATGTTAAAAATTACAGGTAGTTGTTGTTGTTGTAATGGCTGAACGCCGTCCCGAATTAATTTTTGCGAATTTCTGCCGAGAAGATAGGCCATGACTAGGTTCAAATCTGGGTCCTAAGCTCCACTGACCAATAAGGACTAAGAACCGGTGTTCATCCCGACTGTTGACTGATGTTGTACTGATAAAAAACTGTATGCATGACCTTTGCACTGACCTCGTCCATGTCAACAGAAAACTTGATAAACCCAATTGACAATTAAAGGGTATGCAAACTTATTCCAGAACAAGTAAACCGAATAATTTCCGATGAATTTTTATGAACAAAATAAAAATGTCCTTGATTGCAAGCGGAAGATGGTGATATGGCTTTAGATTTCTTCGACTTAACAGCTTCTCTCAAGAATGTTCAAAAGATCCATCTATGAAACCATGTGTCTATCATTATTAATGAAAGTCCGATGAATAATTAAAAGGGTGGTGTTCTCCATGGAACCTCTTGCTACAAAAGGTTAAGCTCCACTCAGTAGATATAGAATAATGATCTGATGGAACCATATGGTGATAGTATAAAAAGGTTCTTATTTGCTTCAATAACATATTTCACGAATTTCTTGTCATTTATTTTGGAAAACGTATCCTACAGGGTATTGTTAATCATGACGCGTCCGTACCTTTACCAGTGAAAACTTTTTAAACACATCTCTCGCATGTGCATATAATTTACATACGTACATAGCATATATTAAATAATCTTAAAGTTTATATGTAGGTGTGTCTTATGTGTTTTCAAATTTCAACCAAGTGCTATTACTAAATACATATGAGTCGGGTTGTAGCTGGGTTTGTTGTTGACATGTGGTTTTCAAGAGAAATAAAAATGGACTCGCACGATCTTGGAGGCCACGCTACAAGTCCACGACGCGTGATAATGCGCTCACAAAAAGTTTTCTTCAATAAATGGACTGTTAAGTTGGCTTTATGGTATGTAGCGTGGTCTTGTTGGAACCAAAGGTCGCCCACATCAACATCCTTCAATTCAGGCATGAAAAAGTTATTAATTATGGCTCTATAGCATACCCCATCGACTGCAACATTAATGTTGGCTTCATTTTTGAAGAAATATGGTGAAATAATTTTCTCTGCCCATAGAGAACTTCATACATTGATTCTTTGAGGATGTAATCTCGTCTCAATGGTTTGTGAATAATCATCACGCAAAATGCGACAATTTTGGTTATTAACGTAACCATTCAACGAAAATTTTCTTGTGAAAATCGGGTTGAGTGGCCACCACGGCAGCAATAGCGTCTTCGATGCGCACTATACGGTGTCTTTGAGGGTGCGCAATATATACAAGAATAAACGAAGTGGGAAACCGATCCATGGTTGCTCAAATTACCGATAGCAGTAAAAAAGGAAATTAATCATCTTCTTACGTCTTCTCGAAGCTCTCCATTTCTTTCTTTACCTTTGGTCCGGTTGGGTTGTATGTTCTTATTCGGGTCTCCATAGGTTATAAGTTTGTTTTGCAATGCTAAATAAACCTGTGTATGTCTTTCATAAAAAATATTATAATTTATTACAAATATTTGAGTTAAGTTCCTCTGGTGTATTGTGCCGTTCCCTCTTTTACATTACTTAATCCAACCTAAGCGCATTAAGGAAGAATACCAACGCAACTGGGCTAATGGACGTGTATAGATGCGCTAGTGTTTCTTCCGGGTTTTATAGTCAAAAGTATTCTGTCAAATAGATTTCCAGCTTGTAAATATGAACTTTAATATGCAGTGGCAGTTATACAATGCTAAAAGCTTTCAGTATTTGTCTCTATGGATGATAATTATTTGTCTGCCTGAAGCTTTGGAGGTTGTAACTTTCCAGAAAGTGAGAATCCAAACATGTATAGTCAGTAAGCGTTCGTTCTCGGCTTGTCTTTTTCCTGAAGCTCATCTTCGAAAGTGTTTGGACTTACTGCGAAGGAAATGTTTCGGGCTTATCAGCTTAGTGACTGGGGCTACCTTAGCCTTTGTTAGTCATCCCGTCTCATTTTAAGATTAGCCCATGAGTCCCATGAGGATTTTGGAGACACTTTAGACTTACTGAAATGCTTCGGGTTTATTTTATTGAGAAACGAATGATATTTTCCATAACGGTTTGAGCGAAATATTTAAAATCTAAAAGCTATTCAAATATTTAATATACAACTTTAAACTTTTAACCAACTAACATAGTTTTAAATTCATAGCACGATTTTTAATAAATTATCAACTCATAAATGTGCAAGTAAATTGCATTGCAAATGTATTTATTGTATTTACTAAATGTAAAGCAATTTAGATGTCATATAAAACTTTTTGCTCCAACACACATGTAATTTTATACTTTCAGTAACTGTGTAATTCAGTATAATTAACTACAAATTAAATTGCTTTAGTGCACATATACACCCATAAGCGTATTGATTTATGTCTGTGTGCAGTAAAACATTTGTGAGAAAACTGATACAGAGCCAAATCAGCCATTAGTGACTTGACCAAGGTATAATTAAATGATTTTACAATGCCCAGCAGGAAATGGGAGAAGCATCATGCAGTTGCTGACTTCGAGCACTTTTGTTTTTGTTACATTATTTGTGGTCTACATTTAGGCGCTATGTCAATATATTCAAACAACCAGAAAACTTTGTGTTGTAAAAAAGAAAAAGAAGTTAACAAAATTTAATATAAAAAAAATATATCAACAGCTGTGCCTACAGAGCTACATAGTGCAGTTTAAATTTTTAATGACTTTTGCCCAAAACTCTATTCCTGAAAATATGCTATATCTGAAATTTCATTTTTAAAAAATATTCTGCGCATCT